GAGCTTGTCAAATTCTGGAAGAAACCTGCGGTTCCTTTCGATACGAGTAATGCATGCAACTATAACATAATTTACAATCTCAATTTACAAAACGAATTTACAACAGAATGCGAAAGTACCTTGGGATTCCCTTCAGGCTCAGTGAGTTAAATATAAGTTGTCCAGACAAAACATGTATTTTCTTTTAAACCGGGTTTACAAATCTACCCAATAAATATTCCAATATATTTTACAAGGCGTGATGACTGCTATAGCCCTCGTATTGAAATTTCTGAGATATTCATGAACTTGTTAAAACTCATCATGTGATACACACGCGCGGGTTCGTCTTTCAGAAGTAAGAAGCACATAAATGGAGTGGGGGGCAGCGCCCAGTTTTTACGCCCCATCAAAGTATCGACTCTCTTCAGTCTACATAGTTCTCCTGTGAAGATTAATTCGCCAGCTATCCTCACAACGCCTTACTTACACACACTGACAACAATTTGACTTGACAAATAATGATAAACGGGACTTCTCAAACTTCACGGCTATTGACTGATCCTTTGAAAACGCACATCTGAGTCTCCCAAGCTTTTTTTTCCAATCAAACTCGAAAGTGCATAGTACCACAGCATTCGTGGATATCAGTTAGGGCTCTCAGCTAAATTTTAGAGTCTTTCTAAAACTTCTATCTCTGCGGATTTTGAAAGTTATACGCTTATTTGAATTGATGAAATTTAATCTTTATTGTGAAGCTTAGAGAACAGAAACAAGGAAATAAAGAGGTATAGCTACAATAGAAGACGAAAGTTGTACTAATCATGATATTGTAAGCGCCAGTGAAAGTTCTTATAACTGGTCATTTTACTCGTGTGCCAACATTGAGTTGTCATTGGTTGATGATGATGTTAACCTTTGTTCTGATTGGTACGTTGTCATGATGACTCTGGTTTTGGTTTTTTAGACACTCAATTGAGAACTCCTCTATCCAATACCTAGGCCATTGAAGTTGACCTTTATTTCACCCCGATCTGCGAAAAACATGCGAAGTACTTTATTTCAACCGGTCACTGTTGAGACTTAACAACACAACAAGAAATTATTTTCCAAGAGATAAAAGGACCGTCCACTAGGACATAAATACTTGGGAGTTCAGATAGATGAAAAACTTAGCTGGGATGGTCATATTGACATGATTTGTAAGAAGGCCAGTGCGGGTATTAGAGCGATGGGACGTATTAAGCCCTTTGTTCCTGTAGATACTCTTGACAAGGTTTAGAAGAGCCTGGTACTGCCTTACTTTGATTATTGTTCCCCCCTCTGGGACAACTGCGGAAAACTCGTACAAAGACAAGTTACAAAGATTTAAATCGTGCTGCTAGGGTTCTTGCTGGTGCCAATTACGATATTCATCCACTAATATAATCCAGACCCTCTCTTGGGACACACTTGATGCGAGGCGGCTTCGCGCCAAGTCAACATTGATGTATAAAATACTAAATGAATAAATAAATACAGCACCCAACCTTAGGAACTCCTTTGTTAAAAGGAATGTTGATCCGACTGATTACCACCTCAGAAATAGTGCTACAGATCTGACACTTCCTAAACCGAAGAGAGAGTTTCTAAAAAGAAGTTTTAATTATAATAAACCAAACGTAGGCGTAATTCCAACTCGTTTATTGTGTGTCTAATCTGTAATCGCTTCTTTATATATAGGTAATATGAGAATCACTAATTTAATCAATCAACTGTCACTGTACAAACAAAACGAAATATCTGGTTTCACAGGTAAAGAAATTGTTCTCGCGTGGGGGCGTCTCCATGTTTCCGACATTAATCATAGCGGTACAATCCTTTGGAACCAACTCCCAAATGAAGCAAAAGAAGCGGAATCGATATATTCATCTAATAAATGTATAAAAACGTAATTGGGTCATGTCACATTACATGTGTTGATTATTTACTTAGTTTACAATATATTCTTAGTTTGTTATAGTTAAATTTTTGTAGTTTTAGACTTACCTATATTATTGATCATTTACTTAGTTTATATACACTTAGTTCATAATAATTGAATTTTTAGGATTTTAGACTTACAATGTTATTAGTCTTGTGGCATTAGTTATAGTTTCTCTTATATCTGTATAAGCACGCCCTCCATGGAAACCAGCTGAGTGTTGTTGGGGCTAGCGTGTTTTTGATTTAAATAAAGTATACCAACCAACCTTTACTTTAAATAAAGTATAACCTACCAACCAAGCGGATTCTATCGCGTTGTAGCGTACGAGGTTGCCGAAGTTGCATAATTTTTCATAGCTTTACGGGGGTACAACGGCTATCTAGGTGTATTTTCAACTTTTCGAAAATAAAAAAAGCGCGATGGAACTTTTTGATATAATTTCTGAAAAAGGTTCATTAACATATAGCAGGGTAGTTAAAAAAAATGTAATGAATTACGAAAAATTGCGACTCTCGGCGAATTCTCGATATCTATGGTCAGTGGCTCTTAAGACAAGTGTAAGGGAATATTTTTTAGTTGACATAGCCTCATCTAGCCTGCTTGCAGACGGTGGTTTGTGTTTTTAAGGTCGAGATTTAGCGCCTCGAATATTGGGTCGCCATATTGGGCGGGTGGAAGATTTGTGACGAGGGAGAGATTTGACGAGTGACAAAGCGAGGGGGAGGGGGAAAGTGAGTTTGACCAGAAAAACCTCACGAAGTCTTCGAACACCGAGTTGTATGACACACTCGGTGATTGCGGTGACTGGCTGATCTCGCCAGGTGTGCCCGGTGCGGGGATTGCGAGTTTTGGCGTGTAAATCGTGGATCTCTGATATGGCGGATATAGACTATTAGTATCCAACTACACTTAGACGCAGCGAGGTCTGTACAAAAGAGACCGAGGGCCGATATTCTTCCAGTACGGTTCCGAGCAAGCTTGGTTGATAAGAGATTTATTATACGACTGAAGTTCAAAGCGACACAAGTGCGGTATCATTCGGGACCATTCGGGACAGTGCCCGGTCCAATACTTAGAGAATATTGGACAGGCAATAGAGCATTTTGATTGGTTGATTTTAGTTATTGGCCCTCTGACTGCCCGAGTCGTGNGCTCGTAAACAGAATTTAAAACGGGGAGTAACCATGCATGTGATGGACTAGCATCCCATCGAGGGGGAAGGGAGAGTACAAATATTTCGTCGCTTAGGCTGTATGAGCTACTGGCCTGACGCAGACGTTTTTAAATTCTAATACGTGCATCTCCATGAACATTTCTGGTAAGTGTATTTTTTTTCGAGACCCTCAAAGATAAATTTCGCATTAAATTATTTGATTAAGTTGTGAATTTACTATTAATTTTTAGTCATCAATATTCTTATTTATTTATTTATTTTTTTATTTATTTACTTCTGTTTTTTTTTTAATTTATTATTTTTCGGGAATTCCGGGAATTCCGGGAATTCCGGGTCTTCCGGGTATTCCGGCACTCGATATTTTCCAAACAACCAACTTCATATATTCATTCTAACTTACCCTGTGTTTACATTTGAGCTTTTACTAAGGAAAACATTTACTAAGGCCAAGTTATTTGACCTTGGTACATTCCTCCAGTGTTTACACTAGCTCAAATAACTCAAGTTGATCTGTCAACACTCCCGCCATCTGTATTATCTACGTCATGAAATCGAACTGGCGGGAAATTCTAAAATCATGCTCGCTTCAAGAAGTAAAGTGGTGGCTTTCGTGGCCATTGCTTTTTATTTCTTAATTCAAGAGCTGCAAACAGAAACGTCAAGATTGTGAATATGCAGCATCCTCCCTGGTGGGAAAATACCACGACCATTATTACACAACGAAGGATAGAATTTTGTCTGGAAAAAGTTGTAAATAATACTGAAAATGAAAAATACAATGCCTCCATTTACCTGACTGATTGTTCGCCGTACGACGATCGATCCAATCGCTCTCTGACTTCTCTGTTATCTACCATGATAGAAACGCTTTGTTGTGGGGGTTTTACTACTCGCTTGGCGAATTAACAACAGGTACTGAGACTGTAATTTTCTTCTTTATTCTCCTATACTGCTGCTTCTACTACAGCTAATTTTCTCTCTCTTTCTTCACTGCTTATTTCTACTACTTGCAGCAATGAGTGCCCCAGTATTGAATACAAAAATCACAGACATGTTTGGGTTAGCTGACCGTGGGAATTTCCAAAACAGGATATTCAGTGTGGGTAAAACTCAAAGTCAGTTTTACTAACCCAAACATGACCACCTAGCAAACTAGTTATCCTCAACCATAACATGGGATTAAAATGTCTAGCACGGTGAGAACTGAGCCAAGTTCAAGCGCACACTAAAAATAAATGATCAAAACTATAGATTCATCAAAATAGCACGTTGGGGCGAAAAGGCGAGACTTAATAAAACAAAAGGTAAACCTAAAAATACTGGAAATATCAATCCTTGAAAACGCTCTACAACAGCTTGGCCGAAAACGTGGCAATCGCACGATCTGCTCACCGCGGGATGTGACATATTACACCGCCACAAGCGGATATATCTGTCATCTTGACCTTGGTTACCAACTGTAACCATGCCTGATCACAGGGTAATTACAACTTTTACCTTGGTCAAATCTCTTATATCTTTTGCGGCATTTAAGTATCAGTTAGCGTTTACACACGGAAAATGTTTACCTAGGTAAGTAAACTCTCGTACCTCAGTAAACCGTTCAAGTCTAAACACGGCATTAGAGGCTGGGCTCATCATTTCAATCCTAATCGGGAAAAATTTTCAGAAATAACTTCTCCATTGCATGAAGTAATTTGTCACGTTTAAATTGGGAGGCTGTAATAGATTCTGGGTCGTTTTTGTCAATCGAGCGTGTTAGTTCTTTCCATTCCATATTTTACCCGTCATTAATTAATCAATAGCCAATCAGTTTTCTTGTTAGTTCCGCCTTTCTTCGTGAATTAATTTGTTCCTCCTCTGTCATGTAATTTGCTTGGATGATGTTTCATCGAGTTTAAGTTACTCATCTTTGGGCATCAAGGACATTTCAATAATGATTCGTAATTTGAAATTTATCTTTGTATGGATTTCACTTATACCTCCACTCACAGGTATCGCACATAATCTGCATTTGCTCTGATATTTTCGGTCTACTTTCTTCTTTCGTATCAGCTGAGCTCGGTTCACCATAATGCTTCATTTGGATTAATTTTACATTGGAAAGAGTGGATTGTTGAACCTTTTAGAATGTGAACAGTGTCTTTATTGAAAATCAGAGGAAAGCTATTATTGTTTAAATGAAATCGAAATCATGAATTGTTATATTATAACTGTGATCTATATTTCTCCTTCAGATGGCGGAAGTATCACATGGTATAAACCCACCCCGGTTATGACAACATCGAATCCAGCTGAAGTGCTCCCCCCAGGCATTGTACATGTTTATGAAGGGTCTTCTGCCACACTGAACTGGAACTACAGCCTGTCTTTAGGTCTAGGTCTTGGTGGCTTCGTAAGATTCAACAATATTGGCATAGTCGACATTTACCGAGATGGTTCAACTGGTCCTGTCAGTGACCGTTTTCAGAGACGGTTCATCGTAAGCTCAACCCTAGGAAGAATATCTCTATCTATCTCTGCAGTGACTGTTGCTGACGATAAGGCCGATGGAGAATTTAGCTGCAGTTTAATTGATGCCAAGAGGGATACTTGGAAACGAGCAATTCAAGTACAAGTCCTAGGTAAGATTAAAAGTGTTGCTGACTTATGGAGAAGCACATCTTAACTGTAACGTATTATTATCCGCGTGTCATATTTGGCTTAGTTGATTTAGTGTTAGAGTTTGACTCAGCGCACAAACCTTCAACAATCCTTTTAACGAATTCAGTTAATTAATTGTAGGGACTCAATGTTACTAATGTTGTATATGACACATCTAATCCTAGCGGAGTGTTCAATATTAATGGCACACTTTACTTTTGTATAGTTGCCATGTGTCCAATACTATTTAATAATTGAGATCTGTAAAAGAGCAAAAGATACCATGTGGAACAAACAAGGAAAATTCAGTAAAGAAAATGGCTCAAATTAAGGTACATCTCAAGATAAATGAAATTCAAGTAGATAACTGATGTCAGAGGATTAAGATGTCAAAAATTCTCCCACAGTAATATTCAAGGTGACATTGTGACAAAACAATTAATCATAAACTGTGGTGTTATACAAGGATTTCTAGCCCTGAGAAAAGGTGCAACAATGTACAAATTAAAGTATTTTTTTTATTTTCATTTGTGTTCGATGTTGCCAATCAGCTGCTGACAGGTCACTTGCCTTTTGCACCACTCTGTCACGTTGATAAGTGAATTATTTTGGCAGACAGAGCAATAAAAGATTTGTGGCACATTCAGACAGTGACATTCAGAATTTCCTCCAGAGAAAGAAAAGAAAAATTGAACTATACATACTCAGTGGCTTTGGTTGGGGCATATTTCTCATGGTTGAGAACAAAAATTGATAACTGAAAAATTTGCCATCTGCTGATTTTGGTGGTTTTCCTGTAAAGGTTTCTTCTGTTGGTAAAGGAAAAGTCAGTAACTGAGAATTTTGTGTTTGTTTTTGTAATTATTCAGTGCATTTTTTTTTTATCCAGAACCTCAACCACAACACACTTTTCTATTTTTTACTGGGGGATTGTCAAACTGTTTAAATTATGCATTCATTAAATAAGTTAATATTTCTTGTCAATAGAGGGCTATTATGTTTATATAACATAATATATAGATATATTGTATAGATAAATATCTCTATATATTATGTTTATATAACATAATATATAGATGTATTTCCAGCCAGGCCTTTTTTTTTATTTTTGCCTGTGGATTCTTCTCCTTTTTATCTTTCTCCATTCAAGTTGTAGTTTTAAATGCACAGGGATAGCAAAGATCTCCAAGAACAACCAAAACCAGGAGATGTTTATACACAATTGAAATTCGATCAAGACTGAGGATGTTAAATTGCCAGAAAAAATCCTTCGCAGGTCTTTTATAAAAATTAACTGGAATTCAGTTTGAGATATGTTTTTGTGAATTAATCTTGGGGACGTGTATTTCAATTTTTAGCCAAAATTTTTCTCAGAAACTATAGTTTAAGCTAAACATAATAATGTTTAGTTTGACATGAAAAATTGAAAATAAAAAAAAAAAAATTGGCCCTTGAAGGTCTACCATATCCTTAAGAAGACACACTTGCATAAAAACTACAGTGACCAAGTGTCAAAAGTCTTGTCATGCTCTACTCCTTTTTGAATTTTCTCCATTAGCTTTCACTAATATCTTCCCCTCTCCCCCATTTCAATCTTTCTTGGTGTTACAAACATTCTCCAATTCATGCCATATTGTTTGGGGAGATGATGTTTCAGGATGATTGTTTTAATTGTCATTCCTCTTGGAATTTTTTTAATTTGTTGCTCCTTTTTCTCTTTCCCCATTTACATTCTACTTTTATATGCAGATGCATTTAGCAATGATTTTAAGATCACTGTATGCAACTCAAAGTAGGAGATGTTTTTGCTATGAAATCAAGAACCAGAATGTTTTTCTGTAAAAGCATTTCAGGAGTCATTATGTTGACATGTTATAATTGGCTATTCACTCTTTGGTGGGCTATATAAAGCTCCTAAAGAAATGGTTTAAAAAATGTCAAATTGTCTTCAGAGAAGACAACGTTTTCAATTGCCTTAAGATACTATGCAAGAGATGAAGGGTTGAAGGAATGCTGAAGAAAATGCCAAAATATCACCATGCTAGCAACTTGCTCAAAATTAGACAGAGGATAGATTATGTAGTTCACAGACATGTGTTGAATTAAACCTTCACTATGTTTTTGTTCTATTTTCTTTCATTTGCAACCTCCAGTTCCTCATTCTTTTTCCTAGCTTGTTGTTGAAAATATCACGTTCTACAATGATGGAAATTACTTGTGGCAAACATATCCTAATACAAAAGATAACATGTTTGTTCGACATGAATAATATTAGAGTGAGTGATTGATACCTGCAGTATTTCACATTTGCTGGAAATTTTTATTTATACCAATATGTAGCATGATAGTAGTTGTCTTAGATGTGCATGTGCCAGCTTCTTGGGAGTAATATACTGGTATTCCATACTAAATACTTCATGATTCTCAAGAGAAATGAGATGTGTAGTGAGAGTGAGAAATAAGATGAGAGGTCACCATGGGGCTTACATTTGAGCAGTACTGTGTGATAATACTAATACAAATTATAACATAACCAAAGTAAAAAGCGTGCTCTGATTGGTCAGTTGAGCATCCCCCATTTGCCCATGGGTGTACGCTGCTGACGTGAGCAAATGCAAAGAGTATTTTTCTGTGCACGCTTGTTTTTTCTGGTTGCATAAGATTTGTTAAATTTAAGGGAACTTGATCTTTAGCTACAATGTATCAATATTATGTAATAAAACAAATGCTAAACACCACAGCATACACTATTGAGTTATGGATAAACTTGAGAGGTTTGCTAAGCACTCGAGAAGCTAGAGTCGCTCTCGGCTATCGCCTCGCATGACTCTGAGGCTTCTTTCATGCTTAGCAACCTCCCGCGTGCATCCATAACTCAATAGTGTACGCTGTGGTGTTTACCATTTGTTAAATATAGATATCATACTGAATAAAAAATTGGTAAATTACCATTTTATATATATATATATATATATATATATGGTCAAAAACAATGGTACCATAAAGTTTGACATAATCAACAGGTCTTTAATATACATTTGTAAGATTCTGACTTATACTCACCAACGTTTCCTGGAATTAGTAGAGATTTGGCAAAAAATGAAGGCCTCCTTCGTGGCATAGTTTGTTCTTCAAATATGTTCTACTGACTCGATCTTTTGTTCCACACCAAAAAAACCAAGCTTAATCGGATATCTGAAATTTTCCTTTATCTTTTTGTGCTTTTTTTGCAATAAAGATATTAAAATATTCTTTCTTGGACTTTTTGAATCATTAAAACTGTAGATTTTGAAAAATTTACCCCAGCGAAGAATTTGATTTTCTTATAGCAAACTCAATTTCCATTTTTAATTATAGTAGTTTTCTCATATCTGCATGTATATAAATCCTCTTCCTGAAATGATGATAGCGGTAAAACATCATGAGCATTTGCCTGATTCAGGCCCAAGTACAACTCATTCAACCAGACATGGACATGACAAGGACAAAAAAACTGTCAGGTCCTCTGGTACATTTAGTTGGTTAAGAAGAGCTTTTTAAAAGGAAAATTTAGCTTGGGAAGTTTTGACCTTTTTTGAAAACAGTTTTGCTTTGAGTAAATTTCAATTTAGGGAATACACAGATTTTAATTCCAAAAAACTATACCATGCTGCAATCATAACAAAGTTAACACAAGTGCATCTTTGATGTCAGCTGAGATGAAATCATCATCAAGGGTTTTATATACAGGTTTTATAAACTATGGGATTCAGGTGTTTTAATCCACCACTTGGCAGTGACCAAAAGGTCATTGAGTTTTTTTTTTGCATACCACCATGTGACATCAAGAGAATAAAATTATGCATAGTAGTAATAGTACTTGTGGGAATGACGTGCTAACAGTAGGCACATTTCCATACTTTATAGAACATGATTAACTTGTTTCTTTTACCTACCAACTGTTGTACAACTAGTTTGTGAGTAATGTTTTTTTGTTTTGTCAAAAAGAACAGCCAAGCTTGCATGGACACCATATTTGTTACTTCCATGCTAAGCGTTACATTAATATCTTTGTAAACATCCTTTTGTACTTTCATTCCTTCTTGTTTGATTATTAAGTAAAGATTACAATTTTTTTTATTAGTAATTTTCCACATTTTGAAGACTTACAGATTTCTAAGTCCAGTCTAGTGTTCAATCATTAAATTAAAATCTTGTCGATACTTTTAGTTGGGATATTAAGATATAACCTTGAATCCTAGCTATCTGTTAAGTTATAATTTCCAGAGATGTTTGAATCTGATGGAAGCTTTTGGTCCTAGGTGGAGTAATAGACCACAGCCTTACCACTTGTGCCTAAAATGTATGCTAGATTAAGTTACAAAAATCAGCTTATTTGATTGTGTAGTTCCCACCTAATTGTTAGTTCAGAATTTAATGCTTGATCCCATGCAGGATATATAAATCTTGCCTAAGATGCCAGGAAGGATACACAAACCCTGCCAACAACTAAGATCCCAAGAGAGATGTGAATGCTGCCTTACATCATAGGTGGGATGAGCACATCCCAAGTGGGGTTAATATCCAGCCCAAGATCCCCGGGTGGACTGTAGACATCCTGTCAAGGATTTCAGTTGGGTGTGAAATTCCAATTAAAATCCCGGTTGGGATGTGTAAATCCTTGTTGGGATATCCTGAGTGGGACTTGCAAAACCTGTCAAGAATCCCAAGTCACTCAGGAGGAAATGCAGTTGGGATCCCACCCTGTGTGGCAGGATCAGGCCAATCCCACCAGGGATCCCAGGTCAACTTTTTACCCGGGTGTCAGCTTCATTTCAAAACTGAGATCATTGCCATCTCAACCTAGGATGAAAAAAGGCAGGTACTATCCAAATAAAATTGAATCAGGCCTGATTCCACCACAGCAACCAATAGGTAATTGCTGATTCACTTCAGTCTTCTACTTAATTAGGCTTGTTGATTTTCTTATTTGAAAGCTCAGGGTCCTGTGTTAAAACTGTTATTGCTCTTGCAGTGTGCTTATTTAACATGCTCTTCAATTATTAGGTCTTGAAGTTTACTTGTGTTTGTTTGATTGCACTAATAGTTCCAGCAAAAATCACTGGAATTAAAGGTGCACAAACTGTTCATGAAGGCAGCAACTTGCAGTTAGCCTGCGAAGCCTCTGGCAGACCAGAACCAAACATCACCTGGGTGAAACAGATGGCAGGGAACCAAGGAAATACTGGTGCACAAGAAGGAGGAATGGTGCTGACTATAATAAAAATCAGCAGAAGTGATTCAGGAACATTCATATGTACAGCATACAATGGTTTTGGTGAACCAGATAGCCAAGCAGTTTATGTAAATGTTACTTGTGAGTATATTAAGCTGCTTTGAAAAAATTTTAACTGTTTTACTCCCAGAAGTGGTTAACATGTAACATCTTCCTATATTATCCACACATTATCCTGAGCACTAAGCCAGTGATGACAATATATATGAAAACTTCAGGAAAATAAGTTGATATTTTGATCTGAAGCCAAATTCCCATATTAAGTAATTAATTAACAAAGAAATCTGTGGCAGCTGTGAGAATTAACAACCAGATATGGGTAGTTAAAGGGTTGACTAATAGTGATTAATAGTGATTGCAATGTGTTCTCTTACTTACCAAATTGTATTGATGTTCAGCTTACATCCAGGTGCTGGCCCAGAGGATTTTGCACATGCTCAGACACCTTTCTCAACAGAAATATGAAATGTTGTTTTAGAAGCTATAATCTGATATTCCACTGTCTATAAATTTGTTTCAGTTGAGGCTGCATGATCATTAGAAAATGATGAACAACAAAGCTGATCAGGTCTCAACCCAAATATTTGAAATATCGCTATGGTTTTCTGAGCGTCAATTGGATAGTTTTAATTTTCCAAAAAATATTGATTTGACTGATGAATGCTGTTAAAAATTTGAGACAACCAACTAAACAAGCATTTATTAATGGAGAGAGGATCACCTTCATGTAATTGATGTCCAAGCAGTAGCAATAAAAATCATTGGAACCACATGTACACAAGTCATGCACTGTAGGAGAACTTTAATATGCCAAAGAATGTAAGTCGATGCAACTGCAGAACAAAAGACTGTCAGCAATTGGTGATAATTTCCTCGAGCAAGATTTTTATAGATCTATGCTGTTCTTTTTAATCAGATTATTATTTCCAATTTGATGTGCAGATCCAGCCACAATTGCTAAATTTGAAACTGAGTATTTTGTTGGTGTACAGCAAAGTGTAACTCTTCATTGTGAAGCAGAAGGAAACCCTCAACCTACATCTTACTCTTGGATTCCATGTGACACAGAACAAGTTTGTGACACTAATACTCTTGCTATTGCACAAGTGTTTAACGATGCCAGCTATACTTGCAGGGTGGTCAATGTACATGGACATGATACAAAAACTGCCATTGTTTGTAAGTTACAGTGTAGTCCAGCATATTAAAGCTGTAGCATCATCCATGTACCAACATTACATTTTGATTGGGTTCTCAAAGTTGAGCCAAGACTGAAGCCTGTCAGATTGTAAAAGCCAAAATAGTAAATTAAGTCACATTTGCCTAAAAGCCATGTTATGCCTTATGATGAATAAGTAATGCACAAAAGAATTTTTGCATAATTAAGGTTAAGGTGAGCTGAAAGAGGAATATTATAAGTGACCAGCACCAATGAAGGGAAAGAGTGAGGGAAAATTTGCATATGTCTTTGAGTCAGTTAACTTGCAAGAAGAGAGATTTTGCATGCAGCTGCATAATTATTGTTAATGGTCTTGAGAATTTCCTACAGCCAATAGAATAGCTGCTATGGGAGTTAATGGAGCTAAGCATTCAACCAATTAGATTTGTGGCAGCTTTTATGCAAATGAGAATAATCCTTCTTTTGTCTTACTATCTGCTACCTTTGAATAATTGCATGTACACTATTATGAATTATTTGTTAATTATGCAAAGAATGCAGTGCAGTTATTTAAACTTTAGGCGCCTTGTCAATATGAGTATCGAAGGTAGGTAAAACAACGGTGCTCTATTCAGGGCTTCTAACAAGATAAAATACCTCTCAATATCATTCCCTTATTCACCAGAAGTTTGTGAGCCAAAGGTCAGTTTGATATACTTAATGAGTGACTGTGTTTCCCTAAATTGTTTTTCTTCATGATCAGTTAAAGAAATAGAGTTCAGAACTTCTACCACAATGTTGGTCTTAAAAAGGACATTTACTTCAGTTTGTAGTACATACAAGGCCAATGCTACAGAAAGAGTTTTTAATATACTATTTTTCCTTTTCTAAACAATCATTACAGTCCACTTAGTGCCCAGGATCATATGGGCAATGGCAAAAAGCCTTGTTTTCATAACTAGCCATTTATGGAGAGCAAGGGACTTCTGGATTGTTTCTGAGGTTGAATAAGCTAAGAGTAATTCTAAAATTTTCTTACAAGTCCAGCTACAGAGTTTTGCCAATTGTGCATAATTCATGGCATATTTGGTTAAAATGACTTAATAGGATAGTGCATGTGGAAAGAAAGATTGATTTTAGAGCCATTATCCCACTTCACAGATATTGCAGGAGATGTGATTAATATAACCATTGTCATCGCAAGTGAAAACTGCATGGACGAAAAATACAACAAATCCTTGCTACTGAGGAAATTGGATGAAGAGGTAACTATCTTTAATGAAATATTGCTTACTTGGTTAATTATTCAATATCGTTAAATCTATTAATTGTTAGTTTAAGAGTCAGAGACTGATCTGCTGACTGTACAATTAAGGATTAAAATGAAATTTTGCCTTTGGAAAATTTGTGGATAATATTTTGTTTAATTCTACAGTGTTTTTAAATCTATTAAATTTATATCTATTAATTTTATTTATTTATTAAATTATTTATAGCTTGAACTCATTTTGTTAGAGTTCTGTCGAATTTTAAGCTCGAAAAGCTTTTCACAATCTTCTTCTGATTCAGTGTTTGCTCATGCTCTGTAGGGGAATAATAAAATACGCAGCAAGTGACGAGAAGAACAAGTTTTCATTAAAGTTGCACTTTGAAAGAAACGAACTGATCAATATTATCATAATGATCATAGACTTATTCTAGCCTGAGTCTTAGCCAAACAACCATAGTCAATTTATTTTAGGTAGTACAAAATGTTTGATATCATTATCATTTGTGCTTAATATATGTAAAGACGAAACAACGTAATGTAATAAGAAAAAATCCAAGTCCCAGATGGGATTTGAACCCACGGAGGGTCGTGGGTTTAAATCCCATCTGGGACTTGGATTTTTACTTAATATATTCATGAACATGCATAATACGTGTGTGAAACATGTATACTAACATTTTTAGACATATGATTGAAATGTTTACTTGCAGCTTAAAAGGGCGTTTGCTGGTAAATTTGATTATGAAAGAGTGCACTCGCTGAGTGTAAGGTATATAAATTTATTGGCTTCAAGATGATTTGAAATTATTCTCGTTTTAATCGTTTATTTTGTTGTTGTCTTTTTTCCACTTCATGTCACTCTAACATTCAGTTATTGTCGGTTTTAAGGTGTGGAATTCTATTAGTTGACCTTGCACTGAAATTCAACTCCACCACAAAGGAACGAGATGTTATCATAATACTTAATGACGCTGTTAAAAATGGCAAGCTGGGAGAGTTCAGTGTTGGTGCTATAAAAGGAAAAAGGCCTGATGTAAAACCACCAGGCGGAGGTTGCGCTGATGTGGAATCATCAGGTGGAGGTGCTACATCACCACCTGACGGGTCCTCTGGTGGTAAGCCTTCATAACATTTCATGTATAAGTTTTGCAAGTTGATAATTGAATGCCCTTGCCCTGTGCTTGTTTGGAAGCATGTTTTTTGGTGAGGAAAATGTTTTGGAAAGTTACTATTGTTGCACTGTTGCTTGAAATGGTAAACGATCGATTTATGGTTTGTACTTTCATTTGGACGGCTTTGTCCACTGCAACCCTTTACTGATCATCTTAGTGAAAAAAAGAAACATTACCCTGTGAAAACTGAAACTCAACCCATAGGAGGCTCGGCCACATTGTTTGGTTTATAAAGATACGCTTGTACTTGCCAAAAGTTATCTTAAGCTTCTCACGCTTCTAGGTTTCGTATATATTATTGTCGGTGCAGTGTTTGGATCAGTTGTTGCACTGACTGCTGCTGGATTATTAGTGTGGTGGGCGTGCAGGAAAAGGAGGCGCAACAGAAAAGGCACTGAAGGTAAGTGTTGCATTAATATTACACCTTCAACTAGTTTTGGCATCCCAAAAATATCTCTTCAACATTTTTCCTATTTTCTAAGACTTAGTACCAGCTTCAGTTCACTATCCACTGCCGTGTGATCTTTGTGTTATCGTCTTTTTTTTTCAATGGATAACCTCTTTGTTTCTCCTTTTTTTTTCTTTTCACTACAGAGGTGGTGATGAGCGGAAGGTGAGGTTTTTCTGTCGAAATGTTGCTGTTTAGTTGCGTTGTTTCTTTATCACTCGATCTTTTTAACGATCTAAACACCTGTTTTGTTTTTGATATGAATGTTTCTGATTGATCCAAAATGATAGATCATGTAGAACACTTGAGAGGCACGCTAGAGATATCGGATTTAATGTTTGCCAACTGTGAGATGATCAACCTCTTAATGATCTGTAGAAAAAATTATGATAAAGCTCCGATATAATGCGCGCTGTCAGTGGTTGAAAGGACGTGTACTGTTAAAGCACAAAACACGGAGCTGAGTCAAAGCCGTCATGTCACCTGCCCAATTGTACAATATGTGGGCAATTTGTGAAATGTCCGACCATTTCTCGGACTTCCCTCTAGCTTTTTTTCGTCAATTAAAAGTGAAAAGTTGGAACAAGGGAGCTGGCAAGTAGCAACAGAATAATGGAACAAAGGTTTGTAAACATGCCAAGCACCTTATAGACGTTATTATAACGCGAGCAAAGATAGAATTACCAAAGAGTAAATATGTTGACTGTCCGAGGTTTCAAGGTTTTCACGCTCAGGTTGTTTGTAAGCTTACGTCCGGTAATGAAACTCAAACGCAGCTAGCACTCGTATAGTATTTATAGTTTCGTGTCAAAAAAAAAAAATCAGAACAAAACAGGGATGATGAAAAATATAACCAAATTGGCATAACTGTTAAATTCTGTACAAATCATAATGGTATCAGGGCGACTGCGATCGTGCTGGGGTTCATCGCAGCTAGCTCATCATGGCAATCTGCGGTCATCGCATTGAACTGAAGCAAACCTCTGAAATCATATCGTCCTCCCTTTGAGTGAATAATTAAGAGCTTGCTCTTGTATCCATTCCGATGTTTTTAGTGGAAAGCCAAATCGGTCAAACCAGCCAATTAACCCCGAGCAATCTTCATCTTCCTGTAAATTCGGCTGTCTTCATTCATTAAGCACATGCTTTGAACAGTTTGTTTCCCAATTGTCATGTGAAAAAACTTTCATATTTTTGTGAGGCACAACTTAGCTGCATTCACTGTAAATTTCACTTTCGGAATCTGTTTTAAGACTTAAAAAACTAGCGAAAATGTGGAATTCGACCTGCCGGACCATTGCAGATAGTGATTCATTTATGGTTTGTGAACTCTGTTGCGTTGAAATTTTCTACAGCTTTATACCAATCAGATTACTCGAACCATTCTAAAAAGGATGTTGATTGGCTTATTTTAGCATTTTTTATGAGTATAAAACATGCTGACAACACTTCTCTTCGCTTCAAAAATTATGATTTGATTTGAGGATTGAAAGTAATAAGTGGTGAATTAGACGGATTCTTTATAATAAAACAAATAAAGAAGCGTTGACTGTATTATGTTCTGTTGCAAAGCACTAAGGAAGCTGCAAGTCTACTCTGCTCATATACAATAAATGGTTTGAACTCGGGAGTAACATGTGATAGTGTAGTTTGATTGTTCGGGTGAGTGTAGTTCTGAGAACGACTGTTGTCGGTATTGGTGACTGACATTTCGATAACCTGAACGGAAGTCATCATCAGAGTCCAGGGAATGGTTGTGGTCAGTCGAATGTTCTAAGTCCAGTCCGAACCACATCAATGACTGGAACTCTGAGCGATACCTAACCTACATCACTAATTGCTTTTTAGAGAGGACTCCCTTCATCAGGTGCCATTTACTGCCGCCACCATACAAACGACTTATTCGCGACGTTAACATTACAAACGAACCGAACGGAACAGGTTGTCGTCAGTCACCACCACCGACAGCAGTCCTTCTCAGTCACCCGGACGATCAGACCACACTATCTTCTGCTGACAGAAGTCTGACACTAGTCGAGTCTACAGCTTTTTCAACTGGACTGAGCTCTCTGGAAAGGTTTTCTGTTATTTCGGCTTTTTCAGGCGGAGGGGATTGGTTTTGTTTTGTAATATATTTGTGTTGTTTTTTCAGAGCGTTTGGAAATTCGAGTGATGAAAGAGATGAAACTACTAGTGTAGGTCAAGTCGATTATTCCTTAATATTTTCATATAAGTCCAGTATATACCAGTTTAGTTTTCATAACACAGCTGGTTTGAAGATTTGAACAGTTTTTAAGCAAGTTAATAGTAATAATAAAAATTTTTCATCTAAGATTGCCGTCGAAATGCCAAAACCTTCTCAAAGCCGTTACACAGCACTCGATGATAGAACTCGGTTACAAGTGATGGCGGATGCCAGTCCACTCAGCAGTGAAGAAATCAGCGAGTACGCTTCTCTTAATTCATGTACACGCTCTTGGGAGATTGCTAGAGAACATGTGACGATAAAGCAGATCGTTGGAAAAGGTGCTTTTGGTCAGGTTGCTAAGGCAACAGCCAGTAACTTACAGGGAAGAGCCGAGAAGACACTGGTAGCTGTTAAACTGTTGAAAGGTACAAGTTAATACTCAAATCATGTTGTACAGACTCAGAAGTCTCTCGAAATTTTTCTGTTTTATTTCAATTTTTTTTCTTTGTTTTTTAGCGTATGTTTCTGTATATTCTCCAAGTTCCTGTTTAGAGTAATCACATTATGTATGACTAGTTGACAGATACCTCCATAGGATGAAGCAGTCAACAATGAAACTTTGATTTAGTTACCTACCTACCTACCTACTAACTTACTATAAATACATCCATTTTTCTACTTATTATAATTACCTACCTACTATAAATACATCCATCTTTCCACCTATATAAATACCTACCTACTATAAATACGTCGATCCTTCTACCTTCTATAAATACATCGATCTTTCTGTTTGTATCTATTCATTTTATCTGTTTGTCTATACATTTATCTTTCTGTCTATCTGTCGCCTTGTCTATCCGGTCATCTTCAATTGATCTATCTCTTTACGCTTAGCTATATTTATGGTACAGTTTAATGATATGATTTTGACTATGTGAAATTTTTTTGACGATGATTGATCGGAAATCTTATTGCAGAAAACGCTTCTGAATCAGAGAGAAAGGATTTGCTTTCTGAACTTGAATTGATGAAAAAACTTAAACCTCATCCTTACGTGATCAGACTTCTTGGATGCGTTACCAAATCTGGTAAATCCTGAATTGTGTATTCTCAGCTATAATTAATGTTAGAAACTAAGGTTTCAAAAGTATCGGTATTTGGGTAATTCAGTATCAGATATATTTCGGTTTAACTTATATAGTATCTACGTTACCTTAATTTATTTAAGACAGGTACTTCTGCTCTTTAAAATAAGAGACCAACCATGCTCTCCTCATACTTAACATGGAAAACATACGCATCACTGAGATAGAATGAATATATGAAGTTCATATATTTTGAACTGCGGTATTAGATACGTATGATGCACGATCCTCGCAGTAGATAGCGCTATTTATGCAATAGCGAGAAATCAGACCTGAAAAAAATCAGGCCTGTACGGGACTCGAACCACTGACCTCTGCGATACTAGTGCAGCGCTCTACCAATTGAGCTAACAAGCCAACTGGGAGCAGGCCGTTAAGTTGATTCGTAATAAACCCGTGAAAGTGATAAATGAGAT